CAAAAGGGGAAAATGGGATATTCAGGGAAAATTTTCTCTTGGGGAAAAATACCGAATATCAGTCGTAAATATGCCCTAGATTAATCCCTGATATAAAGGGTTTGAATAGTTAAAGAATTTTCAAAGTTCACGTTTTCAATTAATGTAAATACTAAACATTTTAAAATTAGAGTACTGCAGAGTATTCTTAAAATGAAAATGTTGAAGAAAATGTATGCTTATTCTTAAATCACCCATGTCATTCAAGTGCTGTATTCCTGACAGCGTTCATCCAATGTTATCCTTGAAGTTTCCCTCTTTTTAGTATGTACCTTTGAAGAAATAAAGATTAAACATATGTTTTTGTATACCAACTTGAAAAGTATATTAAATTAGTAATGTCATTAAATTATGTATGTACCTTTGAAGAAATAAAGATTAAACATATGTTTTTGTATACCAACTTGAAAAGTATATTAAATTAGTAATGTCATTAAATTAATTTTGACAGATTCCACATGAATTAAAGTACAACTTCAGAAAGAAGAGGATATCAACATTGTGCAGGTTTATTTAATCCCTTTATATGAGTTAAGATTTAATTGAGATGGTACACAATTTTGTGCCTTGCTGTGAATATTGTCATGTCAGTCTTTATACCCCCCGTGCAGCAAACAAAATTTAGGGGGGGGGGGGACAAAGGAATAATCTGTCTGTCTGTTTAGCTGTCTGTCTAGCTGTCCGTCTGTCCATGCAATTGTGTCCAGGCTATAACTTAGTAACAGAGAATCATTGGAAGCTCATACTCAGTATAAAGGTTATTTGTGTTCCGAGGGCCGATGTTAAGCACATACCATTCCATGGTTGATTTCGACTTTTCCACTCAGCGAGCAGAGTTTTGACGCTGTTTACGGGGATAAAAGAAAATAAAGACATGCATGCTATATATGGTTGTGTAGATAAATTATCGTAGAAGACATAGGTATAAACAATTTGCCAGTGCATGTCCTCTGAAATTTTAAATGAGTGCAATTCTGATGGAGGGGGGTACTCCGTGTAATACTGAGTTGGATACCTTGTGTTATTATTATACCATGGATCAAAACTTTATTACAGAAATAAGTGCCTGTGGTAGGAATATATGGGGAAAAACTTAAAAATTACTTGTAATTTACATTCAATTAAAATTTATCTCAAGAATAGTCTAGGCATGATTATTTCCATTTTTAATAGCCAAGCAACTTCAGGTAGATAAGTGCAGATTGAAGATTGTTTAATTATGACCCCAGAGGAAGGAGGCCATAACATCGGGTAAAAAAAAATGTTGGAATATAGAGGGGAGAAAAATCTTTTTATGAAGAACAACATTGGTACTGTGACTCAGGTGAGCATTGTGGCCCATAGGCCTCTTGATTCATGTATCATTGGATGGGGCATTCATTTTATAGATCTGAGACTATGACTTTGGTTGTACTGTTCAAGAGGCATATTACATGGACCTTATGTAAGCATTAAGATACTTGTAATCAAAATATACCAACCAACAGCATTATTTGTACATGTACTTCTGCATGTATAGTGTTTGACAAGGCCATTATATACATGTAAAGTAAATGTTCTGAATTTGTTTTGACAGATTCCCCAGGATGTGATGAGCAGTTGTTAAGAGGATGAAGAAATCACCGCCTTACAGGTTTTCATATTTCCTTCACATGCAAAAGTTCATATGGCCAAAAATAAAAATAAAATTAGTCTATAGTTCCTCAGGCACCACTGCATCAGGTCAAACACTGACGCATTGATCAATTTTATTGACATATTGAAAAGTGAAATAACTCAATTTTCTATTTTTTCCAAGCGGAAAAAGAAAACTGAGTTATTCCCCTTTTCATACATGCTAATAAATATGGTTTTATTAGCTCACCTGAGTGAGCTTTTCTGATCACATTTTGTCCATCCATCTAGCTGTCTGTCCATCCATCCGTCTGTAAACTTTTCACATTTTCAACTTCTTCTCCAGAACCAATGGCCAATTTCAACCAAACTTGTCACAAAGCATCCCTGGGTAAAGGGCATTCAAATTTGTTCAAATGCAGGGCCATACCCTCTTTCAAGGGGAGAAAATTAAGAAATAGTGAAAATTGGGTGGGGTCATTTAAAAATCTTCTTCTCAAGAACCACTGGGCTAAAAAAGATGAAACTTATGTGAAAGCTTCCTGACATAACATAGATTCAAGTTTGTTTAAATTATGACCCCAGGGGGTAGGGTGGGGCCACAATGAGGGATCAAATTTTTACTTAAGCATTGAATTGTTATTTTTGGATGTCGCCGGTCCTATAACACACCTGGCCGTGCTGACAAATTGAATACCGTGCGTCAGTCTATCAATGAATGTAAATATAAAGGAATGTATAGTTACGAAAAAATCTTCAAAAATCTTCTTCTCAAGAACAGCAAAGCCATGATAAGTCATATTGATATGGAAGCATCCTCAGGTAGTGTTAATCCAAGTTTGTTCAAATCATGACCCCCAGGGGTTGGGTGGGGCCACAAGGGGGAATCCAAGTTTAACATAGGAATATAATGGGAAAAAAATCTTTAAAAATCATCTCAAAAACAGCAAATCCATGATTAGTCATATTGATATGGAAGCATCCTCAGGTAGTGTAGATTCAAGTTTGTTCAAATCTTGACCCCAGGGGGTATTGTGGACCCACAATGGGGGATTAAACTTAAACATAGGAATAGCAAAGAATAGCAAAGCCATGATAAGTCATATTGATATGGAAGCACTCTCAGGTAGTGCAGATTTAAGTTTGTTCAAATTATGATCCCTGGGGGTAGGGTGGGGCCACAATGGGCTATCAAAGTTTAACATAGGAATATATAGGGAAAAAATCTTTAAAAATCTTTTTTTAGCTCACCTGAGCCGAAGGCTCAAGTGAGCTTTTCTGATCACATTTTGTCCGTCGTCCGTCCGTCCGTCTGTCCGTCTGTCTGTCCGTCTGTCTGTCTGTCTGTCCGTCCGTCTGTAAACTTTTCACATTTTTGACTTCTTCTCAAGAACCACTGGGCCAATTTTGACCAAACTTGGTACAAAGCATCCTTGGGTGAAGGGGAATTTAAATTGTTAAAATGAAGAGCCAAGTCCCCTCACAAGGGGAGATAATCAAGAGAAGACAAAAATAGGATGGGGTCATTAAAAAATCTTCTTCTCAAGAACCACAGGGCCAGTAAAGCTGAAACTTATATGGAAGCATCCTGGGGTAGTGTAGATTCTAAATTGTTCAAATCATGACCCCCGGGGGTAGGGTGGGGCCACAATGTGGAATCAATGTTTTATTACATAGAAATATATAGGAAAAATCTTTAAAAATCTTCTTCTCAAGAACCACTGGGCCAGAAAAGCTGAAACTTATGTGGAAGCATCCTGGGGTAGTGTAGATTTTAATTTGTTCAAATCATGACCCCCGGGGGTAGGGCGGGGCCACAAGAGGGAGTCCAAGTTGTACATTGAAATTAATAAGAAAAATCTTTAAAAATCTTCTTCTCAAGAACCACTGGACCGGAAAAGCTGAAACTTATGTGGAAGCATCCTGGGGTAGTGTAGATTCTAAATTGTTCAAATCATGACCCCTGGGGGTAGGGCGAGGCCACAATAGGTATTACAGGGGGGGAAACCTGGTAAAGAACAACATGGCCAAAGTTACTCAGGTGAGCGATGTGGCCCATGGGCCTCTTGTTTAAGAACAGCAAAGCCATGATAAGTCATATGAATATGGAAGCATCCTCAGGTAGTGTAGATTCAAGTTTGTTCAAACCTTGACACCTGGGAGTAGGTTGGGGTCACAGTGGGGGATCAAAGTTTTACATATTAGGAATATATAATAGAAAAAATCTGCTGATGAAGAACAGCAGAGCCATATTGACTCAGGTGAGCTCTGTGGCCCATGGGCCTCTTGTTGTATACACAATGTATTTCTTGTTAATTTAAGTTGAGTCTATCTAACAATTAATATAAGAGTGCAAAAAGGAAGAATAAGTAGATGTCATCATTTTGTTGACTGACAAGAAAAAAAGATTCAGATAACACCTTTAAAAAAAGAAGAAAAAACTGCCTGCTGCATTGAACTTTTGGCCTGAGAAACTAAAGATGGAATTTTTTGGCCTAAACTATAAAAGTAAATGCAGTACATTTGTAGATGTACATGTTTTGTTCTTGTTTTTTTTTAACAAACAATCAAAATTAAAGCTATCATGATTTGAATTTTGTAATTTCAAAAAATAGACACAATTTTCTCATAATTAAATGAAATAAGGTAAATGAAATATGTTTTTGTAAGAATGATAAATAATAATGTCCTTTGTTTTTTTTTTACTCGCTAGGACAAAGAAACAAGATGAAAAGAAACAAACTAGTGGTTACCAGCTAGAAGAAATTGATGTGGTAAACATTTCTCTGTTACTTTATATAACTGTGTTAAATCATACTATAGGTCCTGCTTAAATATAGAGTGTGTTATATATTAATTAAGAAAATCTATATTTAATACTGCACAGCCTTGTAACTTATGAATTAATGTTTGTAAGAAGACAGGGTTTATCATGATAATTCTTTTGTAAATTATTAAGTTGACTCGCTGGATGTAAATACAATGTTCCAAATGATTTCATATTATCACCTATAAGAGTCTTAAAAGTCTTCCAGTATTTCACAATTTATATATGTGTTTTAATTTGTGAATATTTATCTGTTAGACAGGTTTGATTGAGAGCACTTGGAGGCTGCTATTCATTGAGACATTGTAAACATTCAGCACCCAGTGTAAAGGTATTTATGTTTATCTGGGTCTTAATTCTATTCTATTCTGTAAGTTCTTAAAATCAATACATTGGTAAATGAGAATATTGTAAAGAGAGCCCTGTTATTGATGTAGATAATTATAACACAATGTTGTAATTTACAGAGAGATCTCCCTGACTGAAGAAATCCACACGGGATTCTGAAACCACAGGATAAAGATGAAATAAATGTCTGCTGTCAATGATGTATAGATTAGTGTTACAGAAATCTGTCACAGTGACAGGTGTTAGTTGTGGTCGTCACATTACCCATGTATCCTCAGACCGGGTCTGGATCAGTGATAGAAACAATCTCATCTTGACAAACACAGCAGGTGATAAACTACATCATCTGACAGGTATAGCTAGTTATTATGGAGTACACACAGTGACTCAGGACGGTGATTTAATTTATATAGACAGTCACAGTAACATCAACAAACTGTCTACAGATCACAGAGTAAAGTCTACATTAATACAGTACACAGCACCATGGAGACCACTGTGTGTCTACAGCTCCCCCTCCACTGGAGACCTGCTGGTCGGGATGTATAATACTGAAACAGATACAGGCCAGGTAAACCGTTACAACAACACAGGAGAACACATACAGACCATACAGCACGACAACACAGGTCAGGGACTGTATAGAAATCCTATCTACATCACAGAGAACCGCAATGGAGATGTTATTGTGTCTGACTTTGGCCATCGTGCTGTAGTGGTGACAGATGGTGTAGGTAGACACCGCTTCTCCTACACAGGACCTCCATCAGGATCAGGACTAGCACCACTAGGAATCTGTACTGATGTGCTGTCACACATCCTGGTGTTTGATCTTGACACCCACTCAGTACAGATACTGGACTGTGATGGGAGATTCCTGTCACAGATAGAGAAAACACAACACGGGTTATACAAACCATGGAGCCTGAGTTATGATGACAACACTAACTGTGTCTGGGTGGGATCATGGACCAACAACACAGTGAACATCTGTAGACTTATACATGTGGACTCCCTGACCGGTAAGTTATACTAAAGTATGTGTTTTGTTTAACAATATTTAGTGTGTACAATTTATTGTAGTCATTGTTTTATATGTAATTACAAGACATTAATGAACAATTATAGTCATTGTTTTAAGTGTAATTACAAGACATTAATGAACACTAATTATTGTAGTCATTGTTTTATATGTAATTACAAGACATTAATGAACAATTATAGTCATTGTTTTATATGTAATTACAAGACATTAATGAACAATTATAGTCATTGTTTTATATGTAATTACAAGACATTAATGAACACTAATTATTGTAGTCATTGTTTTATATGTAATTACAAGACATTAATGAACAATTAAATTCATTGTTTTATATGTAATTACAAGACATTAATGAACAATTATAGTCATTGTTTTATATGTAATTACAAGACATTAATGAACAATTATAGTCATTGTTTTAAGTGTAATTACAAGACATTAATGAACAATTATAGTCATTGTTTTATATGTAATTACAAGACATTAATGAACAATTAAATTCATTGTTTTATATGTAATTACAAGACATTAATGAACAATTAAATTCATTGTTTTATATGTAATTACAAGACATTAATGAACAATTATAGTCATTGTTTTAAGTGTAATTACAAGACATTAATGAACAATTATAGTCATTGTTTTAAGTGTAATTACAAGACATTAATGAACAATTATAGTCATTGTTTTATATGTAATTACAAGACATTAATGAACAATTATAGTCATTGTTTTAAGTGTAATTACAAGACATTAATGAACAATTATAGTCATTGTTTTAAGTGTAATTACAAGACATTAATGAACAATTAAATTCATTGTTTTATATGTAATTACAAGACATTAATGAACAATTATAGTCATTGTTTTATATGTAATTACAAGACATTAATGAACAATTATAGTCATTGTTTTATATGTAATTACATTACATGCTTAATTCAATTCTAACTTGTTGCATTAAGTAACAAGAAATATTCCTAAGATGAGGATATATAAATTATACACTGTAATTTATAACTAAAGTATATCATTTTGAGATAATATTATTATTATATAATTAGTTAAGAGTTCTTATAATGTGTACTTGGTTTAGTTTATAACTTTGTTATGGTAGACAAACTACTGATTTGTTCAGATCAGACTTGACATAGATTCTGTCCTACACTACAATGTCTAATGTTCTCTGACTGGTTAAGGATATGTTGTTGTCTTCTATTTGGGTTGACATCATAATTTTATAGCAGGCACTGCCAAAAGTGAGTAAATGAATAGCAGTACAGTTGTCTGGTTTGTAGGTTAACCTTAGAAGTCACTACAAATGTCAGGAAATGAAAGGTGTACAGTTGTAAAATGGGTGAGGTGTGTGGGGTGATGTATGTAGGGTGAGGTGTGTGGGATGGGGTGTGTGGGTAGGGGTATTGGAGATTAGGGGTTTGGAGGGGCAATGCCATAGGTCTTAATGATAGTTGATATATGGTTCGTTCAATACTCCATTCAAGCAAAATACAATGAACAGTGACTACAATATTTTACAGACTTTTAACAGATGACAATTTGTACAAGTTGACAGATATAGACACCATTGATATTAACACAGCTCTGTCTAGGAATGTTGTCTATTTCTGTTTTTCTGTAGCAGGTGTTCAGTAAATCTACACTGACTGTACTGGGTTGACATTCTACATGTATATTACATAAGATTTTTGCAAGATTAAAAATAAAACCAAATTTCAGAATTATATAATTTTAGTTAAGACCCTTTGGAAATGCAATGAAATAGTGATTCATTCTAATGATATTGATGTGTGAAAGTAAACATCTGTGAGAATAATTCAAACATTGAACTTAATTTATACCAGTGTACAAACGAGTTCAGCCTTACTTAACTACTGAAGGTAACATGGTGTGTGTGAGTTTAAATACAAACTTAGTAAAAGTTGTATCCAGGTATTTGACATTAACATACTTTTCAAAACCCTTTTTACACAATTAAGACATATTTATAACCCCCAGAAAGAAGTTTTTTTTTTGGGGGGGGGGGGGGGGGGGTATATAGGATTCACCTTGTCCGCCTGTCTATGCAATCTTGTCAGGGGTATAACTTTGTAATTGAGAACTATTGGAAGCTCATACTTAGTACAAAGAATGTTTATGACCTAAGGGTGTGTCATGACCTTATTCAAGGTCATTCCAGCAAGTTCAAGGTCACTGGCAGAAAAAAGTATTAAAAACTTGTCCAGGCTATAACTTTGTAATGGAGAATCATTGGAAGGTCTTGGTAAAAAGATTGTACATGTATATGACCTAAGTGTGTTTTGATGACCTTGAATCAAGGTAATCCCAGCAAGTTCAAGGTCACAGGCAGAAAAAAGTATAAAACTCTTGTCCAGGCTATAACTTTGTAATGGAGAATCATTGGAAGCTCATACTTGGTACAAGGATTGTTTATGATTTAAGAGTGTATTTGTTGACCTTGACTCAAGGTCATTCCAGCAAGTTCAAAGTCAGTGGCAAAAAAGACTAAACTTCTTGTACGAGGAGCTATAACATTGTAATAGAGAACTGTTGGAAGCTTATACTTTGTACAAAGATTGTTTATGATCTGAGAATGTGTCATAACCATGACCCAATGTCATAGTGATAAGTTCAAGGTCACTGGCAGAAAAAAATATGAAATTCTAAACAGGTTATAATTTTTTATTATGGAAAAACATTGGATGTCCATATTTCACTCAAAGATTAAATATTTATGACCAGAGAATGTGTCAATTATTTTAACCAAGGTTCATTTTGGCAAGTTCAAGTTTACAAAATTGCAAATAGGCATTTTAAAAAAATTGCAGCTTTGCATCTGGTTTGATCTGATGATTCGGGCCTGTCGACATGATACGACTCTTTGGATCAAGTTACTGTTATAATACTATTATACAATTATTGCTGGTTTTTGAGGTCAATACGATGATATAGACACCTGAGGAGTACAATATTCACTGAGCCCGAAGGGCGAGGTGAATATTGGACTTCGGAGTGGCTAAATCATCGTTTCGACTGAAAAAAACGGCAATAATTGTTTTATTATATGATTCAATGATTAAATGACGCACACTCATTAAGCAATCCATGCCATCTTACTTGTTCACAACACTGAAGTACTAGCCGAACATAATGAGAGAAACGGGGTTAAAAACAACCAACTGTATTATTTTGGAATTTTTAATTCTAGTTTAGGTGCAATGTAGAAAAAATTAAATGTCAGGCATATATATAGGATTGATTTTGAAAAAGGGGGCATGAAAAGGAAAAAAATGACAACTTACCTGAAAACAAATCTTTGACTACCCCCCCCCCCCCCCAAAAAAAAAAAAGGGAAAAGAATGTGCAGGTCAATATAACTTAGTATTTTTCAAACATTGTTGGATCTCAGCCAATCAGAGAGATGGGAATTATTCAATCATATTGTAATAATATATAAGTTGTGCTAATAAATTTATCAGTAAGATGTGCATTTTACCAATAGAATTGAAGTAAGATGAATACTACTCATGTACCCTTATTACATGTTTACGAGTAGTAGCAGGGATGAATACAAAGTTTTATTTGATTGTTTATTTTAGTTCATTTAGTTTATTCAGAGGTTTAGTTTATTTTATTTGATGAATCATTTTGTTAATATTGACTTAAAAATTATCAGTAATCATGGTAATAGTCAATATTGATTGACACACACACACATATATTTATTGATGCTATTAGTTTAGAATCATTTGTTTCATATTCATTAATTAATAATGAATAAATTACACATTTGAATATCATGATAATTAAAACAACATGAAATTATCACTATTACATAAAAGTAATAAACTTATTTGCATGTAAAGAGAAAATGTCAATTACTGAATATGGTATATTGTTCAAATATATATAAAGTGAAAGTGATGCATTCTAGTAAGTTTTCACATTTTTCTAAAGCTATTAAAAATAGGCTATAATCAATATGATCAATACATTTCAGTGGGTTATTTTATATTAAAAGCTAGGCCTGCATGTACATAGAAGTGAAAAAATAATTTTTTACCAATAAAAATTGTGCTGATAAATTTATGAGTAAAATGTGCATAAAAGGACAATATGTATATACAACAGGTATCAAAATAAAGTTGCTAATGTGTAAAGAGAAAACATTGATTAATGAAATTAGTATTTTATAAGTTTTTACAGAAAAAAAAGCAGGGGCAGGGCGTATATCTACTTCTGTTCCTAAACTAACTGCAGGATTTTGAACAAAGTATTTCTTCCTGCTGTAAGCCTGTAATTTACTGTCAGTAGAATTGGAATTGTTCCATCAGCAGTGGTAAAAATTAAATTTCTTGTGCTTGCGTGGGATTTTATCTAGTTATTCTTAAAAAAGAAAGTTGCTTGAAATAACTCATAACATATGTATCAGGTAACCTACTTGATGTCAATGCTACCAAAGTAAGAGATCCAGTGAATTTCATTTTGATCAGTAACAGCTACAGGGCTCAAAATTAACATTAAAACAAACTAAACTAGGCGGACTTGTACCTAAAAAATTTACTAGACCTGACCTCAACCTCACTAGTCCTCATCTAACATTCGTGGATTATTGAGCGACTCAATTTATTAATATTTATTTACTAGAATATTAACATGAGAAAAATGAATAACGAATGAAAAAAATCTGATTCAATGGTTATCAAAGTTTTTTTTTATGCGCCCGGATCGATAGATCGGGGGCGCATATTGTTTTTGTCCTGTCTGTCTGTTGTCAACTTTAACCTTCGCCATAACTTTTGAACCATGAGAGATAGAGACTTCATATTTGGAATGCTTGCTCCACTAATTGAGCTCTTTCAAATGACACCAAGGTCAATGACCTTGTGACCTTGACTGTGACCTATATGCTAAAAATAGCTTTTTCGAACTTTGTTGCCGCCGGGTGCATAGTTTCACAAACACATCTTTTTTTTTTTTTTTTTTTTTTTTGATGAGGTGCAAAATAAAAAAGAAGAAGATAATTATATTATCAAATACACTTTTTATTTAAGTTTAAGAAAAATATCAGAAAGGGATATGTATTTCAACTCAATTTAGTTCAAAGTCCTGGTTAAATTAAAGGATGCAGGGTTGTCCATAAGACTTGGAGGCCAGGGAATGACGAAGTCCCCCGGTTATTTTGATATTGTCCCCTCAACCCCCATAAGTGGAGGAACCCCAGACCCCCTTCTACTTTTTAATGTCCCCTTCTATTTCAATTCTTATGGACAGCCCTGAAGGCCTAGTTAAATTAAAACACATGGCACAATATATTGTCGTAAATAAAATGACCTATTAGCAATATTAGGAAGGAAAACTCTATAGGTAGAATTAGCTTTTATAGAAAATCAAATGGTGGCAAGGTAAACAAAATATTGATACGTATACTAATAATAGTGTAAGTAACGGTCTCACAATCAGTAACGTGTTATAGTTCAATTCAAACAATTACAGTTTTCAAAAACAGATCTTTCCATGATCGTTTTATTTTTCATCAGGATCGAAAAAGGGAAGTAAAACCTGACTAAACACATTGATTTTTGTTTCATTTGAAGCTAGAGATGATTTTGCATGACCATCGGGCTACTTTGAAGCAAAATAAACTAGACTGGACCAAACTTTTACTAGTCTGTGTCAGTCGGACGTGCCTTAATCTTGAGCCCTGAGCTATTTAAGTCGTCAGTCAAGATTCTGACTCATAGCTGCTTTACCTAGCACTCATATGTATTTTGTGCTGAAATGTAATGAAACTAAATCTTGTATATATATGTTTTTTATGCCCCCCTTTGAGGAAGGGGGGGCATATTGCTTTGCTGCTGTCTGTCGGTCGGTCGGTCTGTCTGTCTGTCAGTCCACAAACAGTTTCTGTTCATTTTCTTCGCAGAGGTTGGACGTACTGAAATGAAATTTGGTATACAGATTTATCATTAGAATATCTAGGTCAAGTTTTGTTTTGGGAACGATCGAGCAATTTTTGACAGAGTTATGCCCCTTGGACGTAGAAAAATTCTGACCATAATTTTTGGGGGGCATAAGTGTTTCACAAACATCCATTGTTATCTATTGTTTGTTACATGAAAGAATGCATGTGTTCTGATAATTATTAGAAGAACATAATTGTTTTTGTTTTAGATCCAAGCAGTGATGATTTTGATAAAGTTGATGAGTTAAAGAAGTTTCTGAGGAAGGAGAAGACAACTGTTTCCCACGCCAGAGGAATACTTGTTGGATGTGCCGAGGCTGGAAAAACAACACTGTTGAAGCGATTAAGAGGGCAACGTCAAAATGTCAGTGAAGTTACAGAGTCCACCAGAGGACTGGAAGTCCATCAACATCTCTTCATTGTTAAAGATGGAATGTTAGAGGGTAAAAATAATTTCTGATTCATATTCATTGGACAAATAGAGAACATTTCTTCACTGTTTTGTAGATTCTCCTTATATTAAATCTTGTCATTTCTGCAAGAGATTTTAAATAGGTACATGTAATATACTTTGAACACAAAGTGTGCACAACTAGAAACTCCTCTTTAACAAGAAATGTAAGATATCACATGGTTTGTGGTTGGATATGATTTTTTATCTAATGAGTTGTCTTATCCCTGAGCCTTGGCAAGGTTGGATAAAAAATCATAAAAAATCATATCCAACCACAAACCATGGGAGATTCTTTTTATCAGACACATGTTTTACACGTGGCAATTTGTGTTTTACACTGTTTTATGTGAATCCACAATATTTGACTCAGAAACCATTGTGACATCACAACGGGGGATATGAAAACAATATCCTATGAGCTATATCCACTGTCTAAAGGAGTAAACATGTGATAAACAATGTATATCACCCCGAATAAACCGAGAGATGTAAAACTGGATTTGAAAGAAGAGTATATTGAAAAAAAATCCATGTTACACTTGTAGGGATGAAGCCCACGACCCTTGGATTATATTTTCCAAAAAATATAAAGAAGTTAAAAGTGTCAGACAGCATTTCATTTGAGATTTTGAAAAAAAAGATGAGAATTATCTAAACTCCATATCTTATTCAAGGGGGAAGGGGGGCGGGTAGGGTCCATTAATGGAGGAGGGATATTTTATGCCACCTCCATGATTTGGCCTGGGCAAATAGTGTTACCCCTTTCCATCCGTCGTTCTGTCATAGTTTTCTGAACTATTTTTTGCCATGCTTGTAGATAATGAGCTTATTTTTGGTATGTTACTTGATATTGATGACTTACGGATCAGGTTTGAGTTCTGTGCTAATTGACCCATTTTAACAAAATTTATGGCTCTGAGACTTTGATAATTACTAATAATACACAGTTTTCTGGACTTTTCCCCCTGTGCTTGTTCATGAGGAGGTGATTTTTAGGTCACCTGAGTCACTCAGGTGACCTATTGCTATCTGTTTTTGTCTGTCGTCATGCGTCGTGTGTTAACATTTGAACTATTGATTTTACAGTGAAAATACATTAATTCTTTAAAAATCTTCTCTGCTCCAGGGTATTAAACAAACTAAGTAAGTACATAGTTATGATAAGCAAGAGTGCCTCTTCCAAAATTGTGAAATTCATGGCCCCAGGGTCAGGGCTTCTGGTATTAGGGCGGGGCTCTATTGATCATATAGTGAAAATGCATTAATTCTTTGAAAATCTTCCCCTCTGCTCCTGGGTATTAAATAAACTAAGTATATAGTTATATTGAGCAAGAGTGCCTCTTCCAAAATTGTGAATCTCATGGCCCCTGGATCATGGGTTCTGGTGTACTGGGGGGGGGGGGGGCTCTATTGATTATATAGTGAAAATACATTAATTCTTTGAAAATCTTCTTCTCTGCTCCTGGGTATTAAATAAACTAACTGAATACATAGTTATGATGAACATGTCTGCCTCTTCCAAAATAATGAATTTCATGGCCCCTTGGTCAGGGGTTCTTCTGTTAGACAGGGCTCTATTAATTATGTAGTGAAAATACATTTATTCTGTTAAATAATTCTTTCTAATCCTTAGTGTTGAGCAGATAAACAAAGTGCATAGTTAGGATGAATAAGGGTTCTTCTTACAGAATATTTAAAACTTCGTGGTCCCAGGGTGAGGGGCTTTTGTTTCTCGATTTGGGAGGGGGGGGGTCATATGACAGTATAGTGAAAATGTGCTAATTCTTTAAAAATCTTCAACTAAGTGCAGAGTTATGATGATGAGGGAACCTGTTCCAAATCTGTAAAATTCATGACCCTGGGTCATGGGTTTTGGTGTTAAGATAGGGCTGTGTTGAATCTGTAGTAAAAAAGGATTATTTCTTTGAAAATCTTCTCTGCTCCTTGGCATATCAAAGGCAAACAAAGTAAAAGTTTTAATAAGCAAGGATATTTATATTTCTACCAAATTTTTTAAGCATCTGGACCATTTGGTCAAGTGTTCTGGTCATGTCCAGGGCTCTATTAATTTGTATTCTATTGAGAGAAGTTATTCCCCTTTGCAATTCACTTTTGATAATTAATCACTGTAAATAATGTATTTGAAAAGTTAAAGAGAATTATGCAAGAAATTTTATTGTATTATATAAAAAGTACTTTCATAGTTTTAATGATCAGATAGACTTATAAATAATAGATAAATAAAAATAAGACAAAAATAACTTATTAAAATGTTCTTCATGGACCAAGAGAGGCCAATGTGAGAGAATAGTACAGAAGCACTACTAGTTTGTTAATAGTCTGCATGGTGATATTGATAAATGGGGGACAGATTAGAACTTAATTTATGAGTTGTTACTAAATATTAGACTAATTATTTCAATGATCCTGATCATCCTATTTCTCTTGCTTTTGGGCAACAAAGCTTCATCTACCAGTTTATTTAATATTCTATAGGGATCCTATAAGTTGTATTAAACTCAGGTGACCGTTAAGGCCCTTGGGCATCTTGTTGGTATGTCTCTTCACTATCTTGATTATGATGATTAACCATTAAAGTTTGAGTTTCGTGATGATTGACCTATTTTTAGTCACTCAGGTGACCTATTGCTATCCGTTTTTGTTTATCGTTGTCCGTCGTGCGTTAACTTTTGAACATTTTCACCTTCTTCTCCAAAACTGCTGAACCAATTATAACCAATTTTGGCATATATAGCATCTATCGGTGAAGGGGAACAAAAATTGTGAATTTCATGGTCCCTGCCCCCCCCCCGCCCCCCCCCCCCCCCCCCCCCCCGGGGCCTGAGGGGTGGGGCTAAAACCACCAAATTTGATGCAATCTTTAAATCAAGCAGTGAAACTGTTGGCATGATTGTAATAAGCAGTGAGCCCTCTACCAAAATTGTGAAATTCAGGGTCAGGGGTTCTGGTGCTAGGGTGGGGCTATATAGATCATATAGTGAAAGTGCATTATTTTTTTGAAAATCTTTTTCTCTTCTCCACATTACATTTTTCAGCTCATTTCATATTAGAAGCTTATAAAAAGAACTCATAAAATTATTGCAAATTTAGAATAGGTTACTTTAAGATTTTCAAAAATATTTTATTGTCAAATTTCTGCATTTCAATTTCAGGAATGAAAGAATTAAAAATATTAATCGACCAGCTCATTTCAAATTCCTTAAGCATGACCCCCAGGGGTAGGGTGGGGCCACAATGGGCGATCAACTTTTTACATAGGAATACATAAGAAAAATCTTTAAAAATCTTCTTCTCAAGAACAGCAAAGCCATGATTAGATATATTTATATGGAAGCATCCTAAAATAGTGTTGATTCAAGTTTGTTCAAATCATGACACCCAGGAGTAGGGAGGGGCCAATCTGAGCGATTAAATTTTTACATAGGAATACATGAAAATCTTTAAAAATTGTCTTCTTGAGAACAGCAAAGCCATGAATGGTCATATTTATATGGAAGCATCCTCATGTAGTGTAGATTCAATTTTGCTCAAATCATGACCCCGGGGGGTAGGATGGGGCCACAATTGGCGATCAAAGCTTTACAAACCACTTGTATATTTAAACTTTTTAATACTGAACTGATTTCTGCTTTTTCCTAGCTAAAGTGCTCAGGTGAGCGATGTGCCCCCTGGGCCTTTGTTTAAATTTTAAGGCTAATAATTTTCAAAACATTTAACTTAAGGGGTGATGATTTCAAATACTGAAAAGTTTAGAATCATCAAACCTTGTGAATTGATGCCTCTTAGGACCTTAAAACATATTTATTAAAAAGTAGGTCACAATGTCCTACTTTTTGTATTTTGCAGACATTCTTTTTCAAACTGTTTTAGAGGAATATTTTGGACCTTATCAGTCCTATGATCATCAAACTTTTTCACTTGATACATCTTGGGTCCTCGAAGAATGTCAACTAAAAAGTAGATCACCATGACCTACTTTTGAAATTTTATGGCAATATTTAAATATCACAGGTACTTATTGGCTTAGAATATAAATTTAATCAAACTTTCTCAGTTGTTGCATCTTGGGTCTTTGGAGAATCCAACCAAAAAGTAGGTCAATGTGATCTACTTTTGATATTTTATGGCTATATATAAATATCACAGGTACTTATTGACTTAGAATCATCGATCTTTGTCAGTTGATGCATCTTGGGTTTTCGGAGAACGTCAACCAAAAAGTAGGTCAATGTGACCTACTTTTGAAATTTTATGGCTACATATATGATCTTAAATTCACTGTCAAGGAATTTTTGTTACATCACTCAAAGCTTTGTGTCCAATATTTCAGACTTAAGATATCACTCTAAAAATTTTTGCAAATTGAAGATTGGTATCAGGACCAAGTCACCTAGGAAGGCCGAGATAGTTGCACTTGAAACAATTAAAATACAATTAAAATTTAATTCATTAATATTGAGTGATGTAACGGAGACACTTCAAGTTTAATTCAAATTAGTTAATTACAACTGAATTATATCTTACTTGTGACACTCATTTTTGCCCCTTTATAAACAAAATTTCTGTCCATTGTTCTCATTTACACTCAAATCTAAAGACTAATACATAAAAAGATCACCTTCTGTTTCAGACGTAACAGGACACAAACTTCAGCACACAGAAAAGAAAATTTCCTCCAAAATTAAAATTAATTGAACAAATTTTTAGGTCACCTGAGTCACTCAGGTGACCTATTGCTATCCGTTTTCGTCCGTCGGCGTGCGTCGTGCGTTAACATTTGAACATTTTCAGCTTCTTCTCTGAAACCGCTCAACCAATTTCAACCAAATTTGGCATATAACATCTATGGGTGAAGGGGGACAAAATTTGTGAATTTCATGGTCCCTGCCCCCCTGGGGCCTGAGGGGTGGGGCAAAAACCACTAAAATTAATGCAATCTTTAAAAATCTTCTTCTTTACTCCTGGACA